CTTTACAGTGCTTATAAGTGCAGTCAGAAAACAACCGTCCTAATGAAATGCGGCACTTAGAAAGCCTTCGGTATGATTTGCATCAGCACAAGGGAAATAGCTTTCATTTCATGTCTATATAGCATTTTACCATAGATTTAGTCGGTGCTTTGACTCTTTTGCAGAGATAGGACCGAGCTACAAGAGAGAGAGGAAAGTGGTGATAACACTGCTCTGTCACAGTGCAGTAAACCGTTGCATTTCTTCATAAGGTTGATAAAAATCATCTTACTTCTTATTTTTTCCCACATCATAATCTCCTTCTACATATTAAAACACAGTGAGCTGAGCAACCGTTCTATAGCCGAAACGATGCATGCAGAAAGTGCATTTATCTGCTTTACACTCAATAATTTACTTTCTGAAATACAATTATACTAATAACGATTTTATAAAGAGCTGAAATACTTTCATAGAAAACACTGAGGGGAATTAACGCTCCGTTTAGCGCCACCAGTGATCTGAGACATGTGGCTACAAAGTACATCGATTTTCTCTGCACCCCACTGAGCCACAGTGGTGATTCCATTTATTTAAATTAGAGGGCATTCTGTTTTTACTCCCACTTCACAGGGGCTTAATTGGCATCCACACTATATGTCATTTGGAGGAGGGCAGGCAGAATTGGAGTTCGGACTTTGTTCAGAGACACAGCGCTGCTTGGCTCTTCTGAACCTGAACTTATGACCTTTCTGTTTAAGCAAATATGTTTTAGATCATGCTCCCAATTAAGCCTGCCTCATGCTCAACCTCCTAGATGTTGAACATGTGTAACTTGTGCTTCTGAAAAAGTGGATTTAGCTCCCATTTTAGGAACCAGAAACAGTGTAATATTCAATGCGATATCATCAGGATTTTCACACTAAACTTCATGGCAGGTCAAGATGTTGATGAGTGAACAAAGAGCTTTTGGAAGTAAATTCAGAAAAAAGAAAGACGAGGTTTAGAGTGTGGACATTTTCACTTTTTATTGACTTTTGTAAAATAAAAGATTCTTATGTATTAAACTTTTTTGAACTCAGGTTAATATTCTCAAACTATTCACAGAACCAGAATTAGATAATTAGCACAAAACTGAACTGTCATTCAGGTAAAAAATTTAGTGCTAAGATCTAGTTTCTAACCAAGTGATAAAGATGTCTGCAGATGTCATCAAAACACTTTCTTCTCACCTGTTCTCATTTTTAGGGTAGATTGTGTAATTTTTGTTTTGAAGAAATGCAAAAAATAACTGTCTCCTGGGAATTTTCACATACTGTCATGTAATGAAAACAATCATTAAGATATTTAAATGTGATATCTGTGAGAGATTAACACAAAGCTAAGCATAATTATTTTATTGCTTCTAGAAAACTAGTTTTAAAAACATATTTTACACTTAACTTACTTTTAGGTTTAGAAAATGTCATAACTATTCATCTTTTTGCCTTTCTGTATCTTTTTAATCATAGATGGCTGCAGTCTTCTCATTACCCTTCACAGTGACCTTCCCAAAATATTTAAATTTACATTCTCTTTTTTAGGTGGTGAGAGATGAAATAGAGGAATGAAATAATTTTCATTTTTGGGATAGGAGTTGAGCTTCAGACTAGATTATGAAAATGGAGGAATCCCTGCGGCACAGAAAGTTCCACCCTGTCTCATTAATACTGACATTCACACCTGCTGGTGTTCTGAGGTTGCACCTGTTTGTACTTCAACCCTTAAAACGAAATCAGTATTTTTGGAAAGCTTTGACATTTATCCAGCTCAGTTTAGTAGAATTAATTCCAAAAGTTTGACACATGCGAACATCTGTGGCGTCTGGTTGGGATTAAGAAAATGTGCAGGTCACCAGCTAATGTGGGATGTAAGAAATCTGACATGGCTGTAATATTAAAAAGACAATCCAGGTAATTATGTAGAGCACATGTATGCATTTAGAATATTGTATTATATTATGGTGCATGATGGAGCAACTGTTAGCACCATTGCTAACAGTTACAATGGTGGCTCAGGTCCTGATCTGAGGTCTTTTTGCATGGAGTTTGTGTTTTCTCAGCTTACTCTGGTTTCCTTCAAGTTCAAAAACATAATTTTCTGGTTAACTGGTCCTTCTAAATTGCTAATAGGGGATGAGTGTTTGCATGGTAGGTGGATTGTACTTTGTGTCTCTTGCTTTATGATGGACTGATTGGCATCAAGTCAAGCATACATCCCACTTGCGTGGATAAGTGCGAGTTTAATACAAAGGATGGATGTAAAAACAACAATGCAGGGTTTTTGAAATGCATCCAGGCAATCTACTTTTGTTTCTACCACTTTAGGCATCTAGAAACTTAGAAACTTACATTTTCACCAATCGATCTTTGGAAAATAATTCTGGTTCAGTCAGATTTGCTATTTTTAAATCTTGCTTCAGATTCACAAAGGTTTGAGCTTTGACTGAATAATTCTAACATACGCATAAGCCTTGATATTAATTGTAGTTTATTTTAGCTGTCACTGTACGTTCAGGGTCATTGCCCTGCAAGAAAGTGAATCCCAGCTTGCAGTCTTCTGCAGCCTCTAGCAGTTTTTTCTCCAGTACTTTTCTGCATTTATCTCCATTCATCTTTCCATCAACTCAGACCAGGATCCCTGCTGAGGAAAAGCATCACGGCATGATGCTGCAGAATGATGTGCAGTGTTAGTTTTTCACCCAAAATAGAGCTTTGCATGCAGCCCAAAGTTTCTACTTTGACCTGGTCTAACACTTTCTGCATAATTCCTCTGAACGTCAGGGGAAAATTGCAAACAGGACTTTTATTTATTTATTTACATTTTTTATAGTTAATGCAAATTGTATTGAAGACAAATGCACACTTTTTAGTTTTTTTTTATTTAAAAAACAATTCCTTCCACTTTGAAATTATACATATTTTCTGCATAAAATTCCAATAAAATATATGTAAAGTGAAACAAATCTGAACAGGTTTTGAATCTTTAGATTGGCTAAAACCGCCATGCCAAGTTGTGGCAACTTTTGGATCATAAGCATATTTTTTACAACACATTTCTTACTGTCTTCACTCTAAACTTTCTGCTTTCATGTTATAAATGATCAGGAACTGGATAGTTTCTGCAGTAGTTTGGTGAAGGTTTTAGGGGACTATAATACATCAATGCATATGACTGAGGATTTAAAAGGCTATTGAGTGTTTTGAGGACATAAATCATCTCTTGCAAGAAAATACTGTTTTATGATTGTGGTGAGAGTGTGTCCAGGTTGTCGGCAGAGGTTAGTAACAGCACTGCTTATATTATGTGAGGCCAGTGTGTACCTGCATGGTTTGTTATGAAGAATTTCAAGTAGGACTGGCCAATAATGTAAACATGACTGGAGTAGACTTGCAGGACTTGCTGAAAATTTTTCATTTATGTTATTGCAGTGCTCCAAGCAGAGCCTGATACGTGTATTGCATCTTGCCAGCACAACAACTAAAGAAAAAAATATTCTGATTTCCCCCAAAGCCTAATAGCATTTTAGTCCTCTCTTTTTTGCAGAATTGGGGGGTTTCCAGCCCAGAATGTCAATTGTTTTTAAGGAAATTAATTATTTTTTTCACACAGTTCCAGTTCAGTTTTGACATCTTTTTTTATTTTTATCTCAATAGATATTAAAATGTTGTATTATTTTAAACAAACTAAAAGCAGAAGTGATGATGAAAAAACTTTCACAACACCTTAGATCAGCATTGACAACTGCAGATTACCAGCAGCAGGGAACCAAGGAACATAACGATAGTTCAACCTAAAATGGAGGAGACAGAAGTTGTGTAGTGAAGAAAAAGGACTGGAAGAATACATTTGTATTTTCTTGTTAGTTAAAGAGAATGGGACAAAATGCAAAGCAGAGACTAATGAAGAAATATTTTAAAGTTTAAATCACACAATTTGCTCAAATGTGTTATTTTTTTGTTTTGAATTAAAGTTGTACTACTTGTTTTTGTTCTTGTTGCCAAATCTGGTCAAGACATGGACGGCTTTACATGTGAGTAAAGCCTTACATGTTTGTGATAAACTGACATGTGAGGGTCAGTGTCTTTCTAGGAAGTGATTAGTTTCCCTTTTAGCACAGTGGCCTAATCTGGTCTCTTGAACTTCTAAAGACGCGATAATGCAATTAAATAATCCAGTTGCATCGTTTTAGGTCTATCCATATGAGGAGTGTAATCAGCAGACACCTTTAGCCTCTTCTAATTCAGAAGTTATTTGAGGAAATGTGACTTATTTTGATCTTCTTGAAACATATCCAGTCAAAATAAAGTTTACATGTGCAGCGCTGACTTTCAGCTTCCACTTTTCTTCTGTTTGTTGTGTTTGCACCTAAAAACGTACCCTCTCAGCGTTCCCAAGAGTGCAAAAATGCTACTGGGCAAAAGCTGCTTTAAATGCTATAAAACAGAATGTACAATTCAGCTACTGAAATATTTAGCTTAAGAACATTTTGCCTTGGAAATGCAAAATATTCAATTCAATAAATGTGAGTTATGGCATAATTTCACCCCAAAGAAATACACTTTTGAATTTCCAACTGTAACTGACAACGACTGCGTGCTTACTAGAAAAGGAATGTATCACCATATAAACAAACAACAACAACTTTGCAAAGGCCCTGAAACAAAGGATGTTTGTATTACAACGTTAAGGAAAAATACTGAGCAATATTTAACAGCAATCATGCATATCTTTCCTACAATATAATTATAATGTAACACATGTAATCTAAGTGTTTGGTTAAACTTAATTACATAATTATAAGAAAGCTCACATAAATTCCCCCCTTTAAAAGATTTTGTTTCTTTGTACTGCTATTTAGAGCCATTTTAAATAGTAAAATAAAGTATGTATATCACAACTGGGCTCAATGAGGTGCAGTTCAAGCACATTCTTGTCACAGGTGTTATTCGCATTTCCCACCAGTCCGGTGGGCCGTGAACGCAGCGTGGCGCTGCCATGTTGTTGTTTTATCCTCAGCGCAGAGTTTCCAGCTGCTGTCGGTGTCTGCGGACACGGTGGGCACTTTTTCAGGGAGACGCGCTCCTCTACGGATATTGCCTGGAGAACAGCTAAACATCGAGTCACCGCAAAAGTTACCGCACCCAGGAGCTACCGTCGGGTATGTACTTATTTTTGGCGTAAAAGTTGTCTCTGTTGACACTTTACTGATTGGCCGAAGCTCGTTCTGTGGGTTTTGGGGTCCTCTCCCCCCACCTTTCATGTCTCTAAAAATCCGCTTCGTGGTTTCAAAGAAATGTTCAAGGGGTTATGAAAACTGCTTCTTTTTTGTGGTCGAACCACACGAAAAGAAAAAGTTAGCCTCGGCTAAAAAGCGAAATATCCGAGGCGTTCGGAAGCTAACATCTGAGCTAGCCTGCTAATGCTGACAACTGACACCACTTTGCTCAACTTTGAGGCTTGGAAAGTGACTTAAACTGAGGATTGTGTCGTGATAACTTCTTGTGGCGAGCTGGTGGGTTTAGAGATTACTATTACTCGCTCATTCAAGGGCAGAGCTGAATAGAAACTGACCTCAGGTCAAAGATCTTTTCGAATGTGATGAAATATATCTTGAGATTTTATTGATGAAAGCTTTCCATAGCAGGGAAATCTTTGGAAATGTCTCAGGCCTACTTCAGTAAACTGCAAGGTCAACCGGTAAATCAGTCAGAAATCCAGAATCATTATTACAAAGTTTTAGAGAGTGTGTGAAACTTTTTCTACCACAAAAAAGGGAACTTTGTCATGTCTTCACTTCTTCTGAGTCAGTTTGGGAGTGGAGAAGGATTGCATTGCTCTTCATGCTCCATTACTATTAGCCGTTCTACAAAGTGCTGGAATTAGTGCAGGGAGAGTCAAAGTTCATTCATATGTAATCAGTTGTAATGAGATCATTATCTATTTACAGCAATGTGGCCTTTAGTTCAAGCCAAGATTTTCTTTTGGATTACAGTTTTGTACATTTCCAAACAAGGTGCTCTTGTTTTTTCTTGTGTTACAATATTGATATATTTAAAAAGCAGTTTATAAATGGAGCATTTCACCTCCCACGCTTTGAAAGGTGTGAGTTTTACACTCAAAGTAGTCTTGCATGGTTAAAGGAAACTAATGCTGTTTATAGTTTATGATTAAAACATGTTTACTGAATTGCTCTTTCATCATAACACTGTCCTACTTAGCAACTTTGTAGAAAGCATTCAAACCTCTCTAGCTGTTCCAGCTGTTGGTATAAGTCTTTACAAGTTAAGGTTTTTGTAGACTCTGATTTTAAAGCATGTATCATCTCACTCATATCTTACTTATCATATTGTTTAATGTAAAAATTGTTTTATTTTTTTTTTCACAAATTTTGATATATTGTTTAGTTTAAATTCCAATTAATGATGTTTAAAGAAAATCCATATTGTTGTGATTCTTGTCTTACTATTTACTCCACTGTTTGTTCAATGAGAATATGAATGAATGTCAATACATTTCATAAATGCTTTTAAATGCAGTGACTGTGTGCAGTTTAAAACATAATCACACTAGTTTATGAGACTGGTGTCATAAAGAAGGGTATTACTGCAATATTGGACAAATTTATTTTAAGACGGCAATGGTGATTTGATTTGTTATTCATCACTTTCCAAACTAATGAAAATAAATTTCACCTCCTGTTTAATCTCTGCTGACTCACAAATTAAACTTGGAGACATTGCAAAAGCAGCTTGTGGTTAATTTAAATTAGTGGTTTATTGTTCTGCTGGTTTCAGGAAATCAAAATGTTATCTTTTTTCTTTCGAATTGCTATCACCTCGGTTTTTGAATGTCAAACTGTGGAATACGCATTAGCAGAAAATCAGAAATACCCCCTTTAACTTATTCTTACAGTTATTAGAGTATTAGTACTATATATACTTCAACTAATAAAAACTCCTGGCTTTAGTTGAAGCTGAAGTTGATACTTGAAAGAAAATGCTGTGTCTGGGTTGAAGTTTTATTTCTGTTGTCTGTATAAGGAGTGAAGAAAGGGCAAAGATCAGGGGGGAGATTAATCAAGTGATCTTCGAACTTTGTCTCATATAATGGAGACTTTCTGTATTTCAGGCTGTTTGGTGGCAGCTTGGTCAGAGTTGAAGTGGATCTGGGAAGAAAGTTGAGCTTCAAGTATCAGATTTGGTAATCTTGTTACTTGAGCTGTAAACCGCAGGTGGGGGAAATCTTCTCAGGAAATGGTTTGTGAGATAATATCTTGTACTTAAAATCTGACATGTCTGTATCTAATGTTCTACAGGTATTAGAAATCTGTGGGGGTTTGGCATGTCTCTCCAACCTCAACATTATAATCATGCAATGTGTTTTATTTGTGCAGGGGATTTCTGTTAGGCTGAGCGTGTCGAAGCCGTTATGCTGTGGTCACAAACGCTGACAAAAAGGCTCATAGCTGGTATTTGATGTTTTTGTATATCCTACAAAGTTTAGCTAAGTTGTTGATGCTCTGCATCAGCGAGGCACAATATATCAGGACTAACATCCGTCACCGCCGATATCAGTCTTTTTTTTTTTTCTTAAATTGTATTGTCCGATAAAGAAAACTGGGCAGACTATTAACAACCGGTATTTATTTCCATGCTGTTAATGTATATCTGGAGGGAAAGTCAGATTTGTTTGGTCATGTGACAGTGTGGGTGATGTAGCGCGGGATTGTGGGGAGTTTAGCTAATGCAAGGCAGGACTGGCGAAATCAGCGATGTGTGTTTTTGTTTTTTTTTCTTCAAGGTGTCGAATAATAAAATATATATAATGTACCAAATGTCTTTCATAACAGCAACATTACGATCAGCCTAAATTTTAAGACTGGTGCATCCCTACTCAGCAGCCCCTTTGCTTTCAAAGCTCAAATTGGTACTTCATTCTTTTTGTATTTCTGACCTTAAAAATCTGGTTTCTGAATGTTTATAAGACACCATGAATTCAGCTCCACTTAAAGTAGAAACTAATTAAAAATGCAACTAGGGATGCACTGATAAATCCTTAATTTTGGGAGTTCGGCGATAAGGAAGACTGAATGATAGCTCCTGTGTTTAGATGTTTTCACTGTACGTATTAATGCACAATGAAGAATATGTAGTGTTTGAACTATCAAAATATATAGTTAAGCTTTGTATCAGATGGTTGTGGTCTTAACCCTGGGATAAGACTCTATTAATATTTGTTTATTTGTTGTTTGTAGCTATTTGATTACAGTGACAGAGCTAAGCAAGCCAGTGGCATTGAATGTGTTTATATATCTTACATATATAAGTAAACTTTTGTGTTGTTTCCATTTAGAATTAAGACAAAATGTGTTCCGTGATTTCAGTTCTTATGTTAGCTTTGGTTGATGATTTCATAATTATAGCTATTTTTTCTACTGTGGTACTAGGGGAAGACTCAAAAACTGCATCGTTTTGCATAAAGCCTCAGCTGCATTACTGTGGATATCTTTAAAACAGATAATCCCCTCCCCCATGCTGTTTAAAATGGGTCTGAGTCGATTACAGATCCCAGAAATCTTGACAGATGTTAAAACAACCATGCCGGCCGGGTCAAACGAGGACTGAGCATTCTGAAGATGTTGGGGATTTGCTTAAAGTTTTTACATAATTGATCTGTTTCTTTTAGTGATGAGAACAATTTGGACGCACAGTAAATATTGGCTGGCATAAAGAAAATTTAAAAATAGTGGTTTGCTACACATGTTCTCTACATGAAGTGTGCAGAAACGAGGCAGCATTTTAGAGAAGCACTTTTAAAAGTCTCAGTTTCTGTCACCCAAAAAGCATTTCACACTCAGATATGTAATACAGAAGTTATCTGTGGTTGTTTGGACTGGGCCTAACTCAACTAAGAAACTGTATTTTTAGAAATGTAAAATTTACATTTATCAAGTGATGTACAGGAAAAACTCTGACCTGCTCTAGTGTAAGCTGGTCCTCTGAGTTGGAGAAGTTCTGTGTTTATTAACGAGTTCAGGGACTCCAGATTTTTGTAAAACAAACTACTTTTATTTGAACGCAAGGATCTTGGGCTGAGTCATTTATATAACTGAAATGTTCTTAGTAATCATGACAATTTTACATCTCATAAGTATATTTTTCTAAAGCTAAAGTGATGCATTGAACATGAGCTGAAAACAACTTTTAATCTTAAGGTAAAGAATGAAAATGTCATCCTCTGCTTGGTGACCACTTTTGCTTTTACACATGCCTAGAAAATGGCAAGTTTCTGAAAAGTCATGTGTCCTTGGGCATTGTCACTATGTACTTCCTTAATCTACTGAAAGCAAACCCCTCGGCGGGAAATTACTCTCAGACTGATTACTGAGACATTTTCTCTCTAGGGCTAACTCAGTCACTTACAAGTTACTAACTTATTAAAAATCCACTTCATAAGTTGAATAGACATTTCTTTCCTATAAAAACACTATGAATAGACATTGAGTTTACTGCTGACAAGGCAGCCAGACCTTTACATCTTTTGCTGGTAAAACTAGTTCTGCCAGATCTGACAGGGTGAAGCAAACTAAACTGTTGGACAAGTCAACATTCCCTTCTGCCATGTTTTTTTATTTGTACTTTTTTCTGTTCACGTTACCAGAACAGAAAGTCTTCTGCTTTCCTGGGTAATCCAACCCCATGGAAGATAATCCAACATGTCTTGGTTTATAAATAGGTGCAGATTATGTCCATAAAGAGATTGTGTCACTTCCTGCTTGTCACAAGTAAACAAACTGATTACTTGATGGATAGGACGAATATAATTGACACCCATAAACTGTTCTTTGTATACTTTTAATTACAGTAACCATGATTGCCTGTACCTCCCTAAAGCGAAGAAAAGGAAGACTATAGAAACTAGATTTTGTTTTAGCGCTAAGACACTTTACACTATGCTTATTTTGACCTATTATGGTATATTTGGTGTTTAAACTATCAAAATAGGCAGGTGCAACCTTTATTTTTTAGAAGGTCTCAAGTATTTGCAAATTTAAGCTATTAATGGGTGGATGTAGTTCCAAATATCAAGAGTTCAATGTATTTTAAAAATGCACAATAAGCATGCATATTTCCTGAGTTTTACCATAGGAAATACTCT